TTTTTTATTTAATATATTTTGTTTAGCAATCAAGAGCATTTAAAGCCAGACCAGCGATCTGCAATCAAAATCGAAAACTTAATTAATTGTTAGTTGTTCATCTACTTCTTGTTTGTGTATCCAATGCATTAGCCAAATATGCGAAATGCGATTGGGCCACCTACAGCGTCATTACAGTAATCCCTCGCTACCGCGAGAATAACTCTTGAATAACCACTTGAGAATAACTCCTTTTACCAGAATTATAAAAGCTGAGGCGAGCGGCTACCATCAATAACTATATGACAGACCCTTTGATTTTTGGCAGTCTGAGTGCCTAGTCCTAGTGCCCCGTTTTTTAAGTGGTATTTTAATTAGCACCATAATTTTATACAACCATTCTGCTTTGAATTTCTCAAAATAGATCAAAATTCCAGCCGAATACAATCGAATATTAAAAGTTATATTCCACAGAAGTTATGTAAAATTTTTTAAATTTAACAACAGCTTTTAACTAATATACATAAGCTCAGGATACAAAGATATTCTTCATATTAAATTCTTACCAAGTAAGTTGATGTTTAATACTTGTTTCAGAAAATTATGAAAACATTAATTTTTATAGCCACAGACAATATGCTTAAAAAAGCAGAAAATTATCTCAAGCTTGCGTATATAAAAAGGTGTACCAGTTAGTATAACATCGGCCACTCTGCTACATGAACTAAGAAAACTACTGCCAGGCTTTACTCATCAGGAATGAGGTAGGGGGACTGATGACAAATAACCAACATGCCTATACCAAAGGGAAATCGGTGGAGACGGCAATACACTTGGTAATTGTTACCGTTGAGTTACCTTCACAATAAAAAGTATGCACTGGGAGTATTTTTTGACATCTCCGGAGGATTTAATAACGACTGCAATAAAAAATCGCCTACGAGCGACTAATATACACCCAGCAATTAAACTTTGGACAAAGAACCCCCTAAGTTGTAGACGGCAGCAATCGGAGTGGGTCACCGCTTCCATGGTAAAAGGGGTTCACAGGGGCATACCTCAGAGTGGAGTCCTATTGCCCCTCCTATGGAATCTGGTGGTCGATGTCTGGTCTTTACCAAGAGATACAAGGTACCGAAATCGATCCCCCCGAAAATTGGGGCAGCCAAACTAGGCTGACCCTAAAAACACAGGACAAATACCTGGACACAGTACTGGACAGCAAGCTGGCATGGAAACCCATGGTAGTGGAAGAGGTGAAGATGGCCACCAATGCGCTTTATGCATACAAGAAGATGCTCAGCAGCACATGGGCCTGGATGCACTGTATTTACATCTCGGCGGTGCGACGAACTCTCCTGTATTTAGTGTGGTGCCAAGCTACCGAAAAGAAGACGTATCATAAGTTCTGCTCTGAGGCGCTGAGATCAACATCAACAAAAGCCATCAAAACTGTACTTGGAATCGGCCCCTGGATATTCGCGCTCGACTGACTGTTAGAACGCTGCAAAGCTTTTTAGAGAAGCAGACTAGATCACAGACCGAAAGTAGGTATCTCTGTTCTTGCAGGGAGTCAGTTAAGAAAGTCTAATGTCGTAAGGCTATAACGTAAACCTCCAACCACCATAACATATCGAAGTTTTACCAAGACAAAATAAGATATCGCAGATGAATTTGTGGATATTTAGGATAAGCCAAGTGGTGGAAATAAGATTCAAAGATTTCTACCATAACTTGAAGGAATAATTGATTTAGAATGTAGTTTATCAATACACCTAATTCTGTTTTTGCACGATCTTTTTTTACACGGTTTTAAAAATCAAAAAATTCAAATCCATTTAGACGATTTGATTCCATTTAGCACGGTTCAAAATAACACAAGACAAATAGATAAAAACACACACAGCTTGAAACCATACGAAAACGAAAAAGAGCATAAAGAGAATATGTACGAATGTTTTTTGTTTGTTTTTCGTTTTTTTTTGTGTATACATACATACATACAAGCAAATTTGCTGGTCAGAGCAATTGTAAATAGAAAAAATATATATAGGGGAATTCCCTCTTTGTCAAAATTCGAGGGGATTCAATTCTTGCAATAGAAATGTGTTAGTATTTGGTGAACTATCAATGCAATCAGACGTGTTTGCTAATAAGATTTTTTATACGCAAATTTTGTTTCCAACGTTAGATAGGTTTTAGAGATAAGGAACCAATCACCTATTTTTGCATACAAGCAATCTCTTTTTTTGGCACGGTTTTTTCAGGCACCAATCTACGGTGTAAAAACAGAATTAGGTGTAATATATTTGCATTCTAATATGACATTAAAACAAAAAAAAAGCTAAACTTTGTGACTTTGAGTCAGTGCAAATTGGCTATTGTGGCCTTGTTATACAGATCACATTTATTTGGAACGGTTGGGAATTTTTGACAGATTTTACGCCCCGATTCCAACTGGAACCATCCATCAGCTGATGACAATAACAAAAACATAGTTCTACTCTGACTTGTAAAGTTTAATCAAGACTAAAAAAAAAACAATATATATATATGTATGTACAATATAATGTTTGGAGTGCTTTAAATATTGGCCTTTATTTTTTTTTTTTTTAATTGTATTTGTTTATTGCATTTTCGCATTAGGTGGATTTTTTCAAATAGCTTCGAAAGGCAAGTTAGCAGGTTTATTGGTCTATACGATGGCTTATTTCGCTCAGGAATCATCACTATAATCGCCTTCTTCCATTTTTGGGGAAAGTACACACTGGTTGGTGACAGTTTCTCTATTTAGCAGCGTTGGGTATCTTCTTCTTCTTATTTGAAAATGCTTCACGAACTCCGGGAATTGACACGATTGATTTCAAATAAAATAGTAGCTCACGAACTGGTTAATATAGCAACTAAATACAAGACGGCTTCAGCTTGAAGAACTAGAATCCAAGACGATGAGCAATAACAAGTGAATGCTTGGTGCAGAATAAAGGGCAGGCTGGCCGAATTGCCCGTACCCCAATTCAAGCGAGGCTTCAACAAGAGCGCGAAAGATCGGGAGAGCGAAAGCGAAAGAAAAAAAGAAAGGCGCGATATGCAGAAGCGAGAGAACGGCTGCATAGGTAGCTGCCGTGTGCGAGAATATAAACATACATAAGTACATGTGCGGATGACAATGTGGTACATTGGGCAGTGTAAATAACAAACAATAATAGGATTTTACCCTACTGGTGCACCACTGGCTATTGGCGAATATGAGTCTGATCCACTGTTTTCAAAAATTAACTATTTGACTGCTGAATCTAGGCGGGGGCGGACAAGTATTTTCAACGAGTACCGTCAGGAACGTACCAGAGAGGCGACAACACCAGAAATTGTAGATAATATCCGCGGAATAATATTGGATGATGGCTGAATCAAGCTGCGAGAGATTGCTAAGGCCCTAAACATTTCTTGTGAACGTGCTTGAAACGTTTCACACGAGTATTTAAGCTTTCTATTGCTCAACCGCTTCATTTCGAAGGAGGCATTGTTTAACGCAAGTTTAACGAAATTTTACGTTGTTTTGTGACTAGACGAAACTGGCATATACATATATCACCAAGAGGCAGAAAAATTAATGGAGAACAATTACTATTCTAACCTTTTGGGCTCGCACATGGCGAAGAAAAAGATTATTTCACCATATCATAAAAAAATTGTGTGAAATTTAAAAAAAATCATGTTTTCTTTGACAGTTAGACTCTTTATCAGCCCACCCTCGTAGGCAGTGGCCGCGGCATTACTTTTGCACCCGGTATTCAGCCATGAATATGACAAAAAGGAAGCGTTTCCGACCCCATAGATACATACATATGTATATATATTCTTGATCAGCATCAATAGCCGCTATCTTCTTTGTTTTCTAGTTTTCATAGATTGTAAGAACTACCATAAAAACAATCATACTGATTCAAGTTCGTTTTACAATTTTACACACGACACTTCACATCCTCTCGAACGGCGGGTACGAGAAAACCAAAAACCTAGAACCATAAATAATTTGATCTACCAGATATCATTTTGATCAGATCGGATCATTATTGTAGTCAGAATGTAGAAAACCATTTCCCTACACTGCCACGCTCTATTTCTTGCACTTTCTGCCTCGTCCAGAGCCGACCCTGGTGGAGTGAGAAATATACAACGAAATCGAAACATCTTATAAGAATGCATGTACACACTACATACAAACTGAGTAACGGGTCGATCTCGTCGAATGGTTTTTATCTGGTCTTTTGTCGTAAAGACATTGTTTGAGATTACCAGCTTTTTTGGCACCTGTTAGCTTCCAAAATAGATAAGAAGCTTGGTTTAATTCAGCAGCTCTGCAGAACGGCTCACTCTGCTCATACAATAGCCATATCTATAAACATTTACGTTTATTCTTCGGCGGCTGGACCTAATAGACTGAATGACTGACTTAATGAAGTGATTTATTGATTTATTGGTGCTGACTGCTACTTTGACCTACAACTCTGACTAAAGTCTGACCAAAGACTATAAAATACCAAGATGTTGCATGAGCGACCAAAAAGCTTTTCTATGGCGGGTCCTAACATTAGGACCCAAAACGCACGAGGGGATACAATTTTTTTTACTATTTCGGCTGAGTCCCCACTGTTCCGCGCCAAAGTCATCAGCGACCACGCTGCCCTACGGTTTCGGCACGCAGACACTGACATGCTTTCACTCGACGCTGACCGAGGCATTGACGAAGCCGAGTAGCATTTCGGAGGCAAAGGTAGCGTAAAAGAGAATTAAAGTACTAGCCCCGCGCGCCCGTACCATGAAGCGTCAAACGAAAATTGAAAAAGCATTTGTTCCTCATGCAACATCTTGGTATTGTATAGTCTTTGGTCTGACTCAAAGCAGAAGAAAAAATGAAACCCTTTGCTGTGCTGCAGAAGTCTACAGTTTTAATTCTCGCTGCTAACTGTAGCTTGGACTTCTGATATTTTCACAAGCATAAGCAGAAGTAATAAAACTTATTGCACCTTATTTTTATATTTGAAGAGTCGATCGGCAAGATTAACCTATAGGAAGAAAAAATACTTTCAATTTATGTTAGAAATTTAACACATTACATACAATAAAATTAGTTTATATTTTTAATAATATTAGCATCTCGAACGATTTGCCATTTGTGGTCATATTGCAACAGAGATCGCTCCAGTTTTGTATATTCCGAATTGACTAGTTTATTGTTCTTTTTAACTTGGTTCAAAAATTTATCCATGACTAAAGAATTGACATCTAAAAATATAGGTAAAATAATTAAGTACATACATATATTCTCGTATTTTTTGGGTAATAGTTTAACTCACCGTAACGATGGTATTGATTTGTCAACGAGATAGTCGACATACTACATGAACGGCCTAACTTATCGCCGTTTTCTACAAACTGTGCAATTACATTTCGAAATCTTTCAGGTATAAGAAACAGTCGGTCAATATTGCCTTTTTTGTAACATAAATACGCAGACTTCATTTGAAACCATTTTCTTCGTATTTGCGTAGGTGATTTATTTGGATATCCACTTTTTTTCATTTTGTTGGCAATTTGGTTAAATGTGTTTTGCGTCGTATTTGCAGAAATAGATCTTTGGACATTATTAAGCTCCCCTATAAATTTAAGCATACATTCAATTTCAGCAGAGACCCAAAAGTTTCTTTTTAGTTTTTCTGATTTCATGTTTAGATGTATAACACTATATATATATCTATATGTAAGGGCTGAAAAACTACTATCGATCATATCGATGGTTTTAGAATTATGCCATGAGTCGATGTTTTTTCGATACATCGTTTGAAACAAAAGTAGGATTTCGAAGTCTAGAAAAAAATAAATGACTGAAAATAATAATAGTATTATGATATTAGACCTTGCTGCTAACTAGTTGCGACTAGTTAGACTAGTTTGCCAACTAGTTAGGCAAAATGCAAAATTAGTTTCCGTAGCCGTCTCTAAACACTTTTCGAATAAGTGAGGCATTATTTGTGATAAAAATTATGTTTTCCGACGCACACAGAAAACGAGCCAGCCAGCAAAATTGGATCTGAAAAGTGTAACAACCGATCACTTCTGCCGCAGCGCCTCTACCAGCTCTACTGCCTGATTTTCTCATAAAGCTGTCCCTGTTTTTGCAGGGAGTCAGTTAAGAAAGTCTAATGTCGTATGCTATAACCAAAGACTATACAATACCAAGATGTTGCATGAGGAACAAATTCTTTTTCAATTTTTGTTTGACGCTTCATGGTACGGGCGCGCGGGGCTATTACTTCAATTCTCTTTTACGCTACTCGGCTTCGTCAATGCCTCGGTCAGCGTCGAGTCGGTGTGTCTCGAGAGAAAGAATACAAAAACAAAATATGAATCGTCTGCGTGCCGAAACCGTAGGGCAGCGTGGTCGCTGATGTCAGCGGCACAGTGGGGACTCAGCCGAAATAGTAACAAAAATTGTATGAGTGCTTTAGATAAATTTAATGTACGCATCTAATAGAGAATTTTCCAATCGAATTTTCAAGATAGTTTTAGTTTAGGAGATATAAGCACTCAAAGTTTAACATTTTTTCAGTGAGCAAATATTTATTGAACTCATATTCACTAACTAATTTAGCAAGATGAGACGGCCATAGGTCCCACTGTGCCGCTCCAAAGACATCGGCGATCCGCGACCACCGCTTCGACGGTGCTGAGGCTCGAGAGTCTAGAGTTGCCGAACAGACGAAACCGATGGGCAGCGGGGTCGCGGTAGAGACGAAGTACAGGCGAAAAGGGAATTGAAACCCCGCGCGCTCCCTCGTGCCTTTTGGGTTCTAATGTTAGGACCCGCCATAGAACAGCTTTTTGGTCGCTCATGCAACATCTTGGTATTGTATAGTCTTTGCTATAACGTAAACCTCCAACCACCATAACATATCGAAGTTTTACCAAGACAAAATAAGATATCGCAGATGAATTTGTGGATTAAATATCCACAAGTGGTGGAAATAAGATTCAAAGATTTCTACCATAACTTGAAGGAATTCCGACGTTCAGATTTCGAAATCAAAAATTAAAATTGAGAATTATTGATTTAGAATGTAGTTTATCAATACACCTAATTCTGTTTTTGCACGATCTTTTTTTACACGGTTTTAAAAATCAAAAAATTCAAATCCATTTAGACGATTTGATTCCATTTAGCACGGTTCAAAATAACACAAGACAAATAGATAAAAACACACACAGCTTGAAACCATACGAAAACGAAGAAGAGCATAAAGAGAATATGTACATATGTTTTTTGCTTCTTCGTTTTTTTTTGTGTATACATACATACATACAAGCAAATTTGCTGGTCAGAGCAATTGTAAATAGAAAAAATATATATAGGGGAATTGAAATGTGTTAGTATTTGGTGAACTATCAATGCAATCAGACGTGTTTGCTAATAACATTTTTTATACGCAAATTTTGTTTCCAACGTTAGATAGGTGTAAGAGATAAGGAACCAATCACCTATTTTTGCATACAATCAATCTCTTTTTTTGGCACGGTTTTTTCAGGCACCAATCTACGGTGTAAAAACAGAATTAGGTGTAATTGCATTCTAATATGGCATTAAAACAGAAAATCAGCTCAGTGCAAATTGGCTATTGTTGCCTTGTTATACAGATCACATTTATTTGGAACGGTTGGGAATTTTTGACAGATTTTACGCCCCGATTCCAACTGGAACCATCCATCAGCTGATGACAATAACAAAAACATAGTTCTACTCTGACGTGTAAAGTTTAATCAAGACTAATAAAAAAAAAACATATATGTACAATATAATGTTTGGAGTCCTTTAAATATTAAAGCTCTGTTTGGAAAATTGGTTCGGCGCTATTTTTTTTTTTAGAAATTTTATTTGTTTATTGCATCTTTGCATTAGGAGGACTTTTTCAAATAGCTTCGAAAGGCAAGTTAGCAGGTTTATTGGTCTATACGATGGCTTATTTGGCTCAGGAATCATCACTATAATCGCCTTCTTCAATTTTTGGGGAAAGTACACACTGGTTGGTGACAGTTTCTCTATTTAGCGGCGTTGGGCATCTTCTTCTTCTTTGAAAATGCTTCACGAACTCCGAGAATTGTAAAGTCTTAGTACAACAGGCAAGTGATCGGATGATAAATCCGAAAGTGATTCGGCACTTATTAAACAGTCCAGTGTGTTGTTTAATTTGATGATTTCGGTGTATACCTGCTTGTTAAGGCAAATCAGTTGCCTGCCTATATATATGTATAAGTTATCCGATCCAGCCGGATACCCCTCCCTCTGCATTTGGTTCTCGACCCTACAGCGGGTCAATGAGCTTAAACATTTTCATATGAGCCAAATACAGCACATGCCTCGTCGCGTTACACGAGAGTTGCAGCGTTGACAGAGACACTTGCCCAGACAGCCCAACACCAACTATGGGGCCGTGGAACGTGGGAAACTGCCGCTGCTCAGCATAACACCGGCGCGTGTGCCATGTCAGCAGATTAATGCCGGGGACTTAATATTAAGACTTTAATTTTCATGTAAATTTAGATTTGTCTAAGACCTCCAACGAGGAACAATAATTCTCGCTTCGACGGAATAACTAATAAACATTATAATAACCGTTGATTCTATTTTACTGGCGCCCAAAGAAATTTTATCCGTTTAAAAAAAAAAATCTTTAGCCGACGCTTCGGTTTTAACAAAAACGAGGGGGAACGTTGTGAGTTGCTGCGGACACCGCAACTGTACGGTTATACCCGATACTAAGTCAATATGGCTCTCCTCCGGCAGACGCCGCTAATATTAAACGACACGACAAAGAGTGCGTGCGAGAGAGACAGAAAATCAGTCTGAGCGGGACGTCGGGCGCTGCGTAGCCACTGCAAATTGATTTGTTCCTTTTGGCTATAAAAATGATCTGATCTGATCCAGATTCAGCAACCTGATAGATATGGTCATTATCTATGATTCTGCGTTTTTAGTTTTCTCGAATGTGCAATATTGTGGATGCAACAGATTTTCGTCCTTTGTGTGGGCGGATGGGGGTGGGGCGAAATTTTGAGATATACGTTTCATAGTGAGATCTAACAGGAGTACGGACACTAAATTTGGTTACTCTAGCCTTAATACTCTCTGAGATTTGTGAATATCCCCAGATTTGCATCCTTTGCGGGGGCGGAAGGGGGTGTGGCGAAATTTCGAAACAAACTCGTCTCGGTCTGATATATTAGGAGTGTGGATACCAAATTTGGTTGCTCTAGCTTTTATAGTCTCTGAGATCTAGGCGCTAATGTTTTACTCTAAGCAAAGCCGCCTATGCTACGTGTGTGTTAGAGAGAGACAGGGCGAGAAAAAATGAAATTGTTTTCTTGATGCTGGCTATAATAATAATACGATCCAATTCAGATTCCGCAGTCTAAAAGATATGGTCATTCTCTACGATTCTGCGTTTTTTGTTTTCTCGTTTCTTTAAAATTGTGGATGCCACAGATTTTCGCCCTTTGTTGGGGCGGAAGTGGGCGGGGCAAAGTTTTGAAATATTTTTGTAGCAGTGACATATCACAGAAGTCTGGATCCAAAACATCGTTGCTCTAGCTCTTATAGTCTTTGAGCATTAGGCGCTGAAGGGGACGGACAGACGGACAGACAGACATGGCTCAATCGACTCGGCTATTGATGCTGATCAAGAATATATATACTTTATGGGGTCGGAAACGATTCCTTCTGGACGTTACACACATCCACTTTTACCACAAATCTAATATACCCCAATACTCATTTTGAGTATCGGGTATAATAAAAACAACAAGTGAGGTGAAATTAATAATTAAACCTACATTTTAAAGGAGCTGAAGGGCAATTCCTCGCTCCCGGCATCAACGTCTACGAAAGGAAAAACAGGCTGAAGGGCAATCCCTCGCCTCAAAAAGTAAAAACAACAAGCTGAAGGACAACCCCTCGCTGCCCACATCGCCACCCACAAAGAAATTAATATTTAGTTGAAGGAAACTAATAATTAGATCGAATAAAACACGGTACAAGCCGCAGAAAACCATGTAAGTGAGCTCTTTTTTGTAAAATATTATTCAAGCATTTTGGTAATCGCGACCCAATAAAAATAAAATAGTGCTGAGTGGTGCAGCTGAGATATTTAAAATCAAAATCAAATTCATTAAAAAAATAAAAAATACAAATAAAATAAGAAGTTGCTAATGGGTGATAGCCCTAACAGTTCCAATAGTGACCTCAAGACCTTTAAGCGGTCCGAAAGCTTAGTTTCACTGTGTTCACAAGCAAGAACAATCCGATAGTGACGATAGTTTACGTTTGTGTCTAAGGGGCCTTCATTTGACTGGAAGCAACGAACGTTCCCCTGACATCATGGACCCGGCAACTTTCGCAGCAGCTATAGAGGCCGCACTGCAAAATCAGGCCTCGCGGTTCGAGACCAGGTTAAAGCAATTACAAGCGGAGATTGCTCAGTTGAGCACAGGACGCCTGCCCCGAAAGTTGAAGCGTATCAGGAGATAGCAATAAATCCCGATGTCCAGTGTGATCAGCCTTTGGACATGGTTAAGTCCGTCCCCGAGTTCGACGGGAAACAGGAAAATTATGTGGCTTGGCGCCAGGCAGCGCTTGAAGGCAGCGCTAGACATTACATGGCGACAGGCATAATCAGAA